CCTCTGGACCCGTCAGCATATCGACAGGCCCTGAGCGGCATTCACAGGGAGTCAGTCTCAAGTTACGTAGACTCGAGACCTGTGAATGCCGTTCTGGGAGAGACACCCCACGACTCGAAACATCTCTTCGCATGCCCGGAAAACCCCTACGCCTGTGTCCCTGTGGACAGGCCCTATAGAGGCTGCACGCTTCTTGAGTCTTCTGAACTTGACAACGACTGGGACACTAGCCGATCTGTGCGGGGTTGTTGTAGCCGCTACAACACCAACAACAACAACAACTGAAAAACTGACCCTTAGTAACTATTATTACCATATACAGTATATTTTGCTTAGCTGCACATCCTTCTTTGCACGAAAAACTTGTGCACGTAACCGAAAAAGGCACTTAAGCGAATTTTCTTTACTACTTCAATAAGGAAGGTATCCGAATCCCTATGAAACCAAATATTGGCGGAGCACTTACCATGTAGAAATTACTGCAAGCGAAATTTTTACCGAATGTTATCTAATTATCTATATAACTACATAAATTGATAGCCATTTTCGTTGTTCTGCGAGATGAGCAAAATAAATAAAAGGTTGTAAAATTAGGTAATTGTAGGGCCAGTGCAGGTAAACGTAATACTTTCATTGATAATTGATACTAGTCGCACAATTTTTAAGGCAGGTATTGCCAATGTGCAGGTATGTTGAATGCATCTATCGGAGTAGTCTTTTTTATAAATGTTAAAAATAATGCTTTTGATGCGCATTTTGGGGTAGGTATCTTAAATGTGCACTTAAGCATAGAGGCAGCAAAGCAAAATATACTGTATAAAATACTCCTATATTGGCAGTAACAACTAACGGGTGATTTTTTTGAGGTTAGGATTTTCATGCATTAGTATTTGACAGATCACGTGGGATTTCAGACATGGTGTCAAAGAGAAAGATGCTCAGTATGCTTTGACATTTCATCATGAATAGACTTACTAACGAGCAACGCTTGCAAATCATTGAATTTTATTACCAAAATCAGTGTTCGGTTCGCAATGTGTTTCGCAAACCCAATTGCTGCGAACGGCGACGAATCGACATTTCACGGTCTTCAGCAACACTCTCAGAAACAGACGCAATATTCTCTTCTGTACGCACTGTACGCATTCGTGTGGTTGGTTTAATGTCCAATAAAGTAAACTGAGTGCGAAACTTGGTCACAATCGCATTAATTGTTTGCTCACTTGGTCGATTATGTAGACCATAAATCGGACGTAAAGCGAACCGAACACTGATTTTGGTAATAAAATTCAATGATTTGCAAGCGTTGCTCGTTAGTAAGTCTATTCATGATGAAATGTCAAAGCATACTGAGCATCTTTCTCTTTGACACCATGTCTGAAATCCCACGTGATCTGTCAAATACTAATGCATGAAAATCCTAACCTCAAAAAAATCACCCGTTAGTACCGTCCGAAAACATTGCAGTGCAGATATATCAATAAACACGTACACATACGTTCATAAATAAACATCTACACAATACATGCACGAAAACGCTACACACGTACACAATACATATACAAAAACGGTACTAAACTTTCTCATTTTGATTTCGAAATGCTTACACATTGAGATCTTATTGTACTAATGATTTTGCAATAAAATGAAATAAAAAATCAAAAGCTCAAAATTTAAGTACAAACTTGTGGAATTTTTCTAAATTCTGTGTAAAGTTAAAAAAAAAATAACAAAATGTTGGCTTGAAAAACATTGTAAATATTAAACACACAACACCATCCACTTTTGACCGCCTCTGTATATACATATATGTATATATACTGTTATGTAAAGAAGGGACAATTTTTACTATTTTGCTTTCGTTTGTTTAATGTTTATTAATTTTTTATTAAATACTAGTTTTATGTATGTATCGTACTTTACACCAGAGGTGTTTGGGAATGCAGTCAATTTTAACTAAATTAATCATTTGGTTGAGTTCACAAGTGATTGCAATTATTTTCGGTTAGTCCTGACTAATAGCCCATTTCCACCAAAAGTTTAACTGCAGTTAAGAGCTCAGGTAAGAGCAAATAACGTTAACATGGGGTGATCAGAAAACTTTATTTCTTACTTTTTGCTTTCAAATGCTTGTACTTATGTAATATGAGCAATTACTCCCTTCGAGTTGTAATATCCTTTTTCTACTAGGCATAAACTGGAGTTAGGGCTTGGTGGAAATGAATTATAAGATTAAAAACTTAGTTTTTATTCTTTTTTTGATTTATGCTTAGTCACTTGAGTACTGCCATTTTTTAGTAATTTTTTTTTATTAGTCTTCAGCCATTAGATTGAATTTTTTGCAGTACTTCTAAGTTTTTTGAAGTGAAACTTCTTTAGCGGCGGTTGGTTGGTTGGGAGTAAATTGGCAAATTCAACGGAAATTGCACACGGAAATGGTGCAACGGAAATTGTGCAACGTAAGTGGTGCAACGGAAATAGTGCAACAGAAATGGTTGGAGCTGAAACAAGTGCTAATAAAAGGTTAAAGAATAACTATTAGAAAAATACCAATACAAACACTTTAGTTATATAGGCTGGTATTGTCACTCGCGAAGCGAATGAAAATAACGGCGAATTTCGCTGTCTCGAATTGTGAGACGCGAATTTCCAGCGAATTCGCCGCAAAATGGCGAACGGTTGTCGAAAATGAATTTCTTGCATTGTCACTAGCGAAAAAGCGACATTCGCTTCGCCAGAGCTGTCAAAATTTGTCGACTGTTTATTTGGTTCGCGTTTGAAATGCACCCCTATTGCGAATGTCGACTGGCAGTAGATAAACGACTATTAAGCGATTATCGATTATCGATGCTATTGCGAGTGTCGCTTAGTCGCTCAATTAGCGACTGTGAATACTTTTTAATCGCTCATCCTTCTATTGCTGTTTTTTAGTCGTTGGAGTTTGCGTTTATAAAATTTACATAAGAAAGTGGTACTATAATGGATAAAAAGTAAGTCAATTGAACTGGAAGTTGTAAAAAATTGTGAAATATACATATGTATGTATGTGTCTGAATTACAGATCAAAAATTATAATCAACAAAAGGCAACTTGCGCGGTTTGTCAAGCTGATAAGGGAGAATGAGGACATAATCAAAGGAATTTCCGGAAAGAGGAGGGGAGGAAGCTCTGCTTCTATTGGGAAAGATACATATACAATATTTCTTGTGCATATAACTCCGGCTACGCCATCCACAGTCTTTTTGTGCAGAACCAACATCAAAAGTTTACAAAAAACTGCATAATTTATTAATTGACTAGTCCTCGGAAAATGAAATCTTTATTTTAAATTAAAGTTGAATTCTTTCACTACACTTGTATGTTAAAGTTTTTAAACTCGGATCACGCGTTTGGACACAAATACCCAACATCATTGTACAAATATCTAAACCGTACCGTACTTCTTAAAATTCCATCAAGTTTCATAATGAGGAAAACAGCTTTTCCTGCAAATCATGTAAAGGCTAAGAACCGTGAAGTATCGGGAACGCAACTTCTATTCATAAAACTCACATATGTACATACACTTCAGCTTCCAATTCCAAGGGATCCGACGAATCTCGCCATTCCCTCCTTGCTTTAGCCAACTCTGCTAATCTATTAGCTTCCACATCATCTTCCTCATCACTAAACCATATTTCAACTGTGCCCATTTTTTAAATTTTATAATGAAAGCCATTATTTAAAAAATGATGTAAATAAAACACTAGAGAAACAAATGTAAACAAACAAACCGCTGTTTAGAATTCTGTCAACCATTCACAATAGTACAAATTTTTATCGATCAAGTTACACAATAGCAAAATAAAAGATGATCGACTCGATCGACAAATTTCTATTCTACTGCCAGTCGACACTCGCAATAGGGGCCATGGAAAGGACGTGAGTAAATTTTAATTTAATTTATTTAATTTTATTTAACAAAACAAAATTTTTAGAACAAAACGGACAACAACGCAGCAGTTCCAAAAGCTTGTTGCAATTATGGAAAACAATCCAGACGTCGCTAGAGGAATGGGAAGCTTCGGTTTCACGAAGAAAAGCAGGGCAGAGCTGTGGGAAAAGTTTGCAACTGAACTTAACGCCATTGATCCTCCAATGCGTAACGGACGCGAGTGGAATAAGGTAAGAACTGAACTAGTTTGTGTTGCCGTAGTTACTTCTGAGTACTATTTAGGTTTGGTGGGTTACAAGCTGAAGCTAAAAAAAAAATTGCGACAAACCGACGAGAAACTGTGGCCACAGGAGGAGGACCTTATACACAACAAAGCTTAACACCACTAGAGCGAACCGTTGATGAGCTTCTCCACCTTCAGGAAGCAGTCAACCCAGCAGGCTCTTCATTTGGAACGAACGTGGAAGAAAATGCGGTGAGTGGCAACAGAATTGATTTAGAGGAGCCACTGGGCGAACAAGCTCCGGATGCGGATTTGGTACCGCGATCATCAACTCCACGGCCAAGGATGACAGTTGAGGATCGAGAAAGCATTCGGATCAAAGCGTTGGAAAAGCAGGCTGAAGTGCAAGACACACTTTGCGAGAGGATTTCAAATATTGAGAAGCTTGCAGAAATCGCGAGGTATACGAGAAAGACATACGATTTAAAAAAGGAAGAATTAAATTTATTGAAATTAAAGGAAGAAAGGTAGAGGGAAGAAATTTTAGAGAAGAAAAGACAGCATAAGGAAAAGATGGAAATGAAACTAAAGGAGTAGAACTAAAAACATTAAAATACAGCCAAAAGTAGACTGTAATATTGTTACAAACTACTTTTGGTTGTATTTTCAGGTTTAGTTCCTACTCTTTAGATTCATATCCATCTTTTCTTTATGTTGATTGAATTTGTGATTTTTTTATTTTTATTTATAAAAAATGTGATGAACTAGTTTTAAGTTTAATATTTTTTTAACGGCTGAATTTAATTTGTGATTTTTTATTTTAATATATAAAAGCATGTGATCAATTAGTTTTAAGTTTAATTTTTGATGAAGGTACTGAATTCAACTTGTGATTTTTATTAAGTTTAAGAGCATAGAAACAATTAGGTTTAATTTAACATGTATATAATAAAGAATTTTGAAGTAGAATGAGTAGAAATGAAATAAAAGGAACAAAAGTAAGGTAAATGATTTTGAATTTATTCAATAAACCGAACTGCAATTAATTTTACAACAACGCATCAGCTATTTGCCTTCTGCGGCGCTCTCCTGATGTATTATTGGCATCTTCACTGATTGGCTCTGATGATACAACGGTGTCAATAAAAATTTCAGCTTCTTCTGGATCACTGATTCTAAATTTCTTACAAATATTGTGGAAAGCGCAACAAATATTTATAATGGATGTTGCTTTAGCAGGATCGTAGCGCATTTTTCGATCACTCAGGAGACATCGAAAGCGACATTTCAAAACTCCGATCGTACGTTCAACGACGTTTCTAGCTTTCGCGTGCTTCTTATTAAAAATTGACTCCCTAGTTCCAGAGTCTGCATGGCGGAAGGGTGTTAGTAAATAAGGACTAAGTGGATATCCGGAATCACCTATAAATAAGTAGTTTTTGTTTTAAAATAGTATTTACATTAATTTTGTGCCGATGTAACAAATTTAAAGTACCTAAATAAATAGAGTTATGATCGCCACTTTGATGCATATTCTCCAAATAAGTCTTTAATGAACTATTGTTCCACACGAACGAATCATGTGTAGAACCAGCATATCTAGCATCCACAAACCGGATATTCATGTCATGATCGCAAGCCTTTAATATACAATTTGTTTATCAGTGTTGCTGTATTCATTTCTTAAAAACTTACAATCATAGCATTTATACTAAAAAAGCCTTTTCTATTTAGATAGAGGTGTCTATTTGCGGTGGGGGCATAAATCGCAATATGTGTTCCGTCAACACAGCCAATTACGTTGGGTATTCCTGATCTGGAGAAAAATTTGCTCCTTGCCTGTTGCTTCTCTTCTTCTGTCATTTCTGTGATTATCGAAGCACTGCAAATTTCTCTTTCTAAAATGGGCAATACCTCCTTTAAAATGAGCGAAACTGTAGGTTGCGCAAGACCCTACAACGGCTGATAACTGCCATGCGCAAAAAATCTCGGTGCGCAACACAATTTTAGCAGNACTGGCTGCCGAGATAGGTCGATCTTCCACTCAGCCATCGATATAAAGTAGTTGAAGTTCCTTGATACTCTGAAAACATGGTTTCTGTTTCCAAAAATTGAAATNGTTCCGTCAACACAGCCAATTACGTTGGGTATTCCTGATCTGGAGAAAAATTTGCTCCTTGCCTGTTGCTTCTCTTCTTCTGTCATTTCTGTGATTATCGAAGCACTGCAAATTTCTCTTTCTAAAATGGGCAATACCTCCTTTAAAATGAGCGAAACTGTAGGTTGCGCAAGACCCTACAACGGCTGATAACTGCCATGCGCAAAAAATCTCGGTGCGCAACACAATTTTAGCAGTGGCGTTACAGACGAGGACAGGCGGCAATTAAATTTGTCCTTGATTTTGTCCAGCACATACATAAAAGCGTCCTTGCTTAGCGGAAAATTCGCTGCAAATCTATAAATACATATTCATATATGCATAAATTTTTNTTTGAGATAGGGTGTTTTTCAATTAAATTCTGAAATAGGGCGTTCTTGAAAAGTTTTTTGAGATAGAGCGTTTTCGAACTGGCTGCCGAGATAGGTCGATCTTCCACTCAGCCATCGATATAAAGTAGTTGAAGTTCCTTGATACTCTGAAAACATGGTTTCTGTTTCCAAAAATTGAAATGAAAAATTTTTTTCTATACAGAATGTAAAAAAGAAAATAAGCATTTTCCAAAGCAAACTCTCTTAACGAGCAAAATTATTTTTTTTGAGTAATCATATTTCAATTAACTCGATTAATCATCGTTTTGAGTAATCAAAATCTAGATTACTCGAGTAATTGATTAACCTTATAATTGATTAACCAACTTGCTCGAGTAATCGAATAATCGCACAGCCCTAATAAATACATATTCATATATGCATAAATTTTTCATGTTTCATTGAATAACCTATCTGCACTGGATAATTACACTGTGGACGGCAGCTCCATAGGATTAGAGTAATCTCTAATAAAACGCCGTTGACGAAGAACAACATTATACTATCCTCAAAATATAAATCTACGGTATAAAACATTTTGCTTTTCAAATTTTAGTTTGTAATAACAAATAATTCGAAGTATAAATGACAGAAACGTCAAAAGAGGATGAACTCATCTAATTTGTTTGAATGGCAACGACGCATGTCCGGCGAAAAAGTTCATTCGCCACTCACAATGCAAATTTTAGGTGTGTTCGCCAAACCGTTCGCTTCGCCAAATTTATTCGCTTCGCAAGTGACAATACCAGCCATAAGGGCAAAGGTGAAGGCAAATATGTAGATGAAGAAAATGATGAACATAAAAGTAAAAACAAAGTTAAATATAAAGAAAAAGATGAGGATGAGGATACCGATAAAAGTAAAGATAAAGATAGAGGAAGAAAGATTAAAATAAAGGTAATTATAGAGAAAAGGATATAGATAGAGACACAAAGACTCAATGGAATTTTAGAGATTTTCGGGATTCTCGGGACTTATCGATATAATAATCGATATTTTTATCGGTTTGTTGTCGATATTTTAATCGATTTTGTTATCGAAATTTTTATCGATATTGTCGATGCAATTATCGATATTTTTATCGATTTTGTTGTAGAGTTTTTAGTCGATATTTTAAACGATTTTATTATCGATATTATTATTGATTTTGTCATCGATATTGTTTAGGCCTTGTTACCGATTTTGTTGTCTATTGTTCATCGATTTGGTTATCGATTATTTATCCATTTTGTTATCAATTATTTATCCATTTTGTTATCGATTATTTTTCGATTTTTGTATCGATTTCGTTATCAATTATTTGTCGATTTTGTAATCGATTATTTATCGATTTCGTTATCGATTATTAATCGATTTTGTTATAGATTATTTATCAATTTTGTTAACGATATTTTTATCGATTTTATAATCAATTTTTGTTATCTGTTATTTTTCGATTTTGTTATCAGTATTTTTATCGATTATCTAATCGATTTTGCTACCAATAGTATTACCGATTTTACTATCGAAATTTTTGTCGCATTTGCTATCGATTTTGTTATCGATATTTTGTTGGATGTTACTTTCGATTTTGTTATCGATAGAGTATAAAGATAAAAGTGAAGATAATGCAAAACAGAATAACATAAATGTTATTAGAACGATCAGGGGTAGAGAGAAAAAATATAACCTTAAGCAAAAGCAGATGAATGTACATATGTATGTTATGAGACAAAATAGATATGTAACGTAAGTTTCACTTCTCCAGTGTGGCCCAGGCGCATTTACTTTTTTTTAAGTTCAGAGTGTTAAAATCACATTTTGGCTGAGGTGGGATTTTATACTGATCTACATATTTGTATTCTCTTCATATACATATGTACATTGTACAACAGCGGTCAAAATAATAGTAGCAAAATTCAAAATTCTATTGATTGCAACTCCTGTTTATTTATTGATTTTTAATAATTTTCATTTAAAATATGGTTCGATCTATAACAGAAATCAATATTTAAAAAATTGCACAAAGTTCACAAAAATGAATCAAAATGCAAAAAATGTTCATCAAATTTAAAACCTTTTATTTAGAATGTTTAGAAAATTTTCAAGTATGCAGTTTTCTAGCCCAATTTTAGTATAATAAAATACAAGTTTCAAGTCACTAAAAATTACAGTTAATTTTTTTGATTTTTTTTGTCGAGGGTGTTCAGCATTTTCTTCCATGTAACGTATGAACAAAATCCCTTTTTATATGGAAGAAAATGCACAACACGCTCGACAAATAACCCACTTATTCTAAAACCCGAATTTTCGTAATTCGTAGCTACGCTACGAAAAACGAAAAATTCACATGCTGAAACCCTTGCGGAAACATGTGCAGCATTGCCAGCTATCAGTTGTTTTTCGAAGACAGTTGAATTGGGGAAAATAAAGTGGAAAGGAGTTAAAAACACTCATGAAGTGCTTATTTATAGCAAAATTGTTTGATTTTGCATATTTTAAAGGAAACGATGGATTCTATTGCATTTGCAATTATAGCACCGGAATAAGAGCGCGCTATGGGAATGATTTCATAAAGATATGCGGAGCTGTCGGGCATAGTAACCATGGGCGCATCTATGTCATCTTCTGGTTGAATTGTTGAACCACAAGCCAGAACTCCTCCTATGCCTGAAGAACTGGTTCACAATACACTTAATGCAATAACAGCTTCTTCCAAGCCATTGAAAACATGCACTTTCGGCCGCGCTTAGGGACTATAACCCTTACTAAGTAGAATTTTCCTTTCTCTGTTGCCGGAGAAGAGGGGCTTCCGCATGTCAAAGCTATACAACACTCCGGCTACGCCATCCAAATTTTTGTGCAAAACCCATATCGAAATTTGCAAAAAACGCATAGTGCAAACCGAATTTATTAATAAGCTAGTGGTCGGAAATTTGGAACATTTATTTTAAATAAGAGCTTAATCCTTTGATTACACGTGTATGTTAAAGTTTTTGGATTCGGGTTATGCGTTTGGACACAACAACCGAAAACCATTGTACAAATAACTAAGACGGACCCAAGTTTCTCGATAAGGGGCAGCACAGATTCTTTTTTGCTTGTTTATATAAAGCAGTGGATAAAAATATATGTATATGCAAAAGGCAAATTTATCTGTTTAAATGAACACTACTAATATTTCCTGCAAATACACATCGATTTACATGTTTTATCTCGCCTTCGACACAGAATTGTTTTCGTACAAAATTACGCAAAAAAGCTTACCCGTTCGTTTTTAGGCATGCCATTGTTACGAATTTCGAAAGTTCGAAAATACGATTCGGATTGCAGCATACTATTTCTACGATTCGTAGCAAAATCCGAATACGAAAAAGTTGCAGAATAGGGGTGTAAATCTAAAAAATGAACGGTAATTTTTAGTGACTTGAAACTTCCACTAAAATTAATGGGCTTCAAAACTGCGCACTCGAAAATTTTCTGAACATTCTGAATAAAAAATTTTGAAGTTTGATTAATTTTTGTGGACTTTGTGCAATTTTTGAAATTTTTATTTCTGTGTTTTCTGTTATAGATCGAATTATATCTTAAATAAAAACAGTTAAAAATCAAAAAATATACAGGAGTTGCAGTTAATATCATTTTGAATTTTGCTACTATTATTTTGACCGCTGCTGTATATGCATAGAGAGAAAATTTCTCAAGTGGGCCACCTAAATTCAGATTGAAGATTTTTTTGCACAAATTACTTTATACGGTTTACAACCATAAACAAAAAATACAATTTGAACAAAATTCGAAGTTATGTTATTGTTATAAACTTTTTTACATGAATTCAGTAATTGTTTATTTTCTACTGATTCACAGCGTGTATCTTGCTGATTCTTTATTATGATAATTGTTAGTTAGACACCCTTTAGCCTGACTGTTCAAACACTCGGTATTTTAATTTAAATTTTTATAAACAATTTAATTTAATTTTAATTTTTATAAACAATTTTTATAAACAAATGAAAATATTTAGTACTTGTTGAATACCAATCCTTATTCTAAAATACATTATTTAAAATAAATTAAAATATGGAAACTTGCATGCCGTCGCAAGTTATCCTTTTTTCGCTCGCCTCGCATCACGCTTTGCTTGCGTTACGCGTGCCGCAGCAACAATGAAAATAATTAATAATTGGCGACTCCGTGCAAGCTTCCGCATTTTTTCCTTTTAAATAATATATGATTGATATTCAGGGAACAAGATTAAGAAAGCTGATCGAGAAGTTAACCTCGTTTTTCTGGAGCTGATCGAAACTTTATACTTACGGATTCGTAATCAGCACAAAAAAGTCTATCAGCTTTAACATTTGCCGTTAAAAATGTGACGAATACTACGGCAACGCGAAGCGAACAACGAGAAATAGGCAGAATGTTCGAGGAATGACGTAGAATTTTCCAAAATGAGAAACGTCAA